TATACTACTGTTTTTGCAATAAAAAATTAATTAAAATGAAAAAATAAAAATTCATTTATATAGTCTAAGACTCAATTTAACAAACCCAACAACTTTTATATCGATATCTTTTATAGTTTTCTTGGAAAAAATTCGCGAAAATAGCCTTTTTTTTAGGTGCTCAGAGTAGAAGGTCCCCTTAACACGTAAGACAGCTAAAAATTGTAGCGTTAGTCAGTCGACAGTGCAGAGAATAAGAAAAAAATACTGTAAAAATATGTTATTAAATGTTGGAGAAAAACCCCAAAAAATACAACAGCAAGATGAACGAAGAATTATACGTTTTGTCACATCTGGTGAAGCTTCAACTGCCATCATAGCAGCAAAATTATTAAAAGAAGATACGGATATACAAATAAGCAAGTAGACAGTACAAAGAACCCTCAAAGGAGCTGAGTTTAGAAGCATTAGGAAAAAAAAGAAGCCGATGTTATCGAAGAAAAATAGAAAACTCCGTTTGGAATTTTTCAAAAAATATCAAAACTGGACAACTACTGAATGAGAACGAGTTATTTGGTCAGACGAGACCAAAATAATTAGAATTTGTTAAGATGGCATGTCATGGTTCTGGATTCGTAAAAATGAAAGGCTTAAACCACGACATGTAAAGCAAACGGTAAAACATGGAGGCGGATACCCAATGTTATGGGGCTGCCTAACAGCATTTGGTGTTGGATCATGAATTAATAGCATCATGAATCAGTACATGTACAAGGATATTTTACAAGATTATCTCATGATGTCGTTGAAAATATGCCTTTTGAAGAAGACAATGTAATTTTCATGCATGATCGAGACCCTAAAAACACTGCTAAAAGTGTAAAAAATTGGCTCAGTAAAAAAATTTTGCTGTTCTGGATTGGTCTGTACAAAACCCTGATCTCAACTCCATAGAGAATCTATGGGGTTTACAAAAAAAACTACTTCGGGATTCATATGACTCCCAATTAACTGCAATCACAGATTTGTACGATAGAATTCAAGAATAGTGGGAAAAATATTTCCAGATTATTGCAAAAAATTAATAGAAAGTATGCCGAAGCGAATTAGTGCAGTTTTGAAAGCAAAAGGGTTGTGACCGAAATATTAAAAATAAATAATATATTAAATATTGTCAAATATTGGAAGCGGTGCAAAACCGAGTCAATCCATTTTGTTTGTCAGTGCTAAACGAGGAGACATTAATTATTGAAAAAATTTCTGATGTTACTTCTAACTGTGATAAAACTTACTATAATGTTCATTTTTTAATATTCTTTTACATTCTTAGTAATGAATAATGATTTATACAAAGCTAGAGTGGTTATTGGTTCAGTTATGCTCCTTACTGTATATACTTTTATTCCTTTTCTGAACCCCACAATATAACCAACAGAAAATTATTATTTTATTAGTAGATTAAATCTCTGATAGAACACCTTGAGTAATAAAACATTTGTTTTCAAAGTAAAGTAAAAATAAGAATGGATAACTACGATCATTTTTGTAGAAAGATGTAGAAGGCTATAAAGATTAATTAAATTTAGATTTCATACTTTATATATGTATATTAATTCAACTCTTGTGAATTCATATATAACCTTGTTATTTTTTAAAACTACTAGTTTTAGTGTATAATAATATTTTTTTATTTCTCCACTTATTTCATGATTTAACGGAATTATACATTTTAACAGTAACATGTATATTTATATAATGTTAACAATAAATACAAATTTTATTCGACCCTCGCCCTGTTTTGTTATCATTACTACACCCTTATTTAATTTCCTTTAATTTTGTTTCCTTTCTTATTTTTTTATTTGTCAAGCTTACCAAAACTTCTTCGAAGCGATCATAATTTTCGGCCCTTGCGTTTAAAAGACTTTCACCAACAGAATCTGTACCAGAGTTTGATTGAGAAGCTAGACGCCTGTCTAAAACGCTTGAAGCAATATGTAAAAAGGATAAAACTGCTAACAAGCCAGCTGAAAATAAAAAGAAATAATTAGTTTGAGCAACAATATTCATAATTATTTAGTAAAGCAGTATAATGTTTAACGTTCGGAGATAATCTACGAATATATTTAAACGAATAATTTTTATCTCGAATAAATTTGAATAAATATCATTTCTCAAACTTTCTATTGTCATTTTCATATTCATTTTTATGTGAACGTATAAAGCACTAACTAGAATATGGTCAACTCACATTTATAAAATGAATCGTTAATGAAGATCTTAAATATGATAGTTTCTGTGTTCTCCCTCTCTCTCTCTCTCTAAAAAGTCGAAACATACAGTTTATTCGGAGAAATGGTTCGTTCATTCTTCGTGATATCACCAATAAGACCTAATTATATTTTATACATTGTTCGTTAAATCGTGTCTTTTATAAAGGAAATTTAAATGTTTAATTAATCAATGTTCGGTCGATATATACGTATATATATGTAGTATATATGTATATGGATTATATTACATAAGTATATATATATTAGGGTGGGTCAAAAAAATCAATTATTTTTTCTTTTACAAGTGCCATGGAAAAATGGATTGCTAGACACCTTAAAAAAATTCTTACCAAATATGAGCTCTTAATTTTAATAGGAAGATCCTCCGCATTGCAGTTTTTTATTTTTTTCTCAGTCCAATAGAATAAAATTCATACCTCATCATTA